TGACCCAGGCCTGGGGGGTCTGTCAGCCTCTGTTAGAATTGAAGGTCTACAACTCTTAAAACTGCTGAAGACAGAAAAGACAAGGAAAGTGACTGAGACACAGCGGCTGTATGAGATGCAGGGTATCCTCACAGGGGACTCTGAGCCCGAGAGCAAACAAGGCTTCTCAATGGTCAAGGGCAGAACCATGCTGACGCTGAGCTGCCTGCAGGCTGTGCTGGTGCTGTGAGCACCCCTGTCCTTTGTGGGGGGGCTGGGGCGCCATGCCTGCAACATGCCCTCAGTGGTTCAAAGAAACACAGACTATAAAGGGTAGGCAGCAAATGTGGCAAAATCTTAACTGTTGGGGAATCTGGGTAAGGGGAACAGGGAGTTTCTCATACTTTTCTTACCATTTTTCTGTGTGTTATTTCGGAAATATTTTCAAAACAAATTATAAAAATACCAGGTTGGGACACTCATATTACAATATATCTCAAAATACACTGTAAAGATTTTGGAGAAAGATAAATATTAAGAACTAGAATAAAATGATATAGGTATGGAAAAAATCTGTCCAAACAGAAATCTGGAAACAAACAAAAATTAACAGATTTGAGAACATAAAAATGTTAAGCATTTATGGCACAAAAACAGACACTCAGATCAATGGAACAGAACAGAGAACCCAGAAATGGACCCACACACGTATGGCAAGCTAATCTTGGACAAAGCAGAAAAGAATATCCAATGGAATAAAGACAGTGTCTTCAGCAAGTGGTGCTGGGAAAACTGGACAGCAACATGCAGAAGAATGAACCTGGACCACTTTCTTACACCAGACACAAAAAGAAACTCAAAATGGATGAAAGACCTAAATGTAAGACAGGAAGCCATCAAAACCCTCGAGGAGAAAGCAGGAAAAAGCCTCTTTGATCTTGGCTGCATCAACTTCTCACTCAACACGTCTCCAGAGGCAAGGGAAACAAAAGCAAAAATGAACTACTGGGACCTCATCAAAATAAAAAGCTTCTGCACAGCGAAGGAAACAATCAGCAAAACTAAAAGGCAACTGACAGAATGGGAGAAGATATCTGCAAACAACATATGAGATAAATGGTTAGGATCCAAAATCTACAAAGAACTTATCAAACTCAACACCCCAAAACCAGATAATCCAGTGAAGAAATGGGCAAAAGACATGAACAGACACTTCTCCAAAGAAGACATCCAGATGGCCAACAGACGCGTGAAAAGATGCTCAACATCACTCATCAGGGAAATACAAATTGAAACCACAATGAGATACCACCTCACACCCGTCAGAATGGCTAACATTAACAACTCAGGCAACAACAGATGTTGTGAGGATGTGGAGAGAGAGGATCTCTTTTGCACTGTTGGTGGGAATGCAAACCGGTGCAGCCACTCTGGAAAACGGTATGGAGGTTCCTTAGAAAATTAAAAATACAACTACCCTACGACCCAGAAATTGCACTACTAGGCACTTATCCAAGGGATACAGGTGTGTGTTTCGAAGGGACACATGCACCATGTTTATAGCAGCACTATCGACAACAGCCAAAGTATGGAAAGAGCCCAAATGTCCGTCGATGGATGAATGAATAAAGAAGATGTGGTATACACACACACACACACACACACACACACACACACACACAATGGAGTATTACTTGGCAATCAAAAAGAAGGAAATCTTGCCATTTGCAACTACGTGGATGGAACTGGAGGGTTATTATGCTAAGTGAAATTAGTCAGAGAAAGACAAATATCCTAGGACTTCACTCATGTGAGGAATTTAAGATACAGAACAGATGAACATAAGGGAAGGGAAGCAAAAATAATATAAAAACAGGGAGGGGGACAAAACATAAGGGACTTAAATACAGAGAACATAGTTGCTGGAGGGGTTGTGGGAGGGGAGATGGGCTAACTGGGCAAGGGGCATTAAGAGGACACCTGCTGGGATGAGCACTGGGTGTCATATGTAGGGGATGAACCAGTGGAATCTACTGAACTCATTATTGCACTGTATGCTAACTAACTTGGATGTAAATTTAAAAAAATAATAAAAAAATGTTAACCATCTAAAATCTAAAAAAATCAAATGTAAAATTAAACAGCAAATTGGATAAAAGATGGCTATCCTTCATCTTGAGGATTTCATACACGTGAAGGACAAAAGGGAAAAAGAGATAATTCACAGTCAAAAACAAGAAATGGCTAAAATGAGGACACTCAGGATCACAGTCACAGCATGAGGACCTGTCCCTTCCAGGCGCATGGGACAGGACACGCACGAGGCAGGCCCCCCTCCCCTGTGTCACTTCTCGATTCTGATCGATACATCTGGAAGCATTTAGGATGTTCACTGTGTTCCCTTTGGAAACATGCGCCAGGGAGAGGACCCAGTGAGGTCCGGGGTCCCACAAGCCCCTGCCCGGACAGTGAGGGGCAAGAGGGGGGAAGGGCGCAGCCAGGCTGGGCGGGCAGACCCCAGGCTTCTGTACGGAAGGGAAGCGGGGCAGGAAGCTCCCATTCGTGCGGCCTCCACGCCGGAGTCCTGTGAAGGCAGATGAGACCCCCACAACCACGTGGGAACAGCGCACGTGCCAGGGCCTGCAGGCCCTGCCCTGCTCCCCACAAAGGTGAGTGGCGAGGCAAGAGCCGACACCTAAGGGGACCGCGACCTCGGACACCACGGAAACACGGCATCAACGTGTGTCACGAGTTCTCACTGGGGTGTGACAAGGAGCTCGATCCGGGGGAACTGGCTCAACTGGGAAACTCCATCCATGGTGGTGGGGGGTGGGGGGAGGGAGAGGGGAGCCGCATCGCGAGCCGGATTCTCTAGAAGCTGGCACAACAGGCCTGAGGGGAGCTAGGGGCAGGGAAGGGGGCCAAAGGCAGGGAGGGGGACTAAGGGCAGGGAAGGGGGACAAGAGGCTGTGGGCAGGGTGGACACCCAGGATGGGGTGCCGCTCAGGCGTGAAAGTGCCGCGGGGAGGCCCCCGGAGCAGGTGCTGGGGGCCCTAAGCCCACTCGGCTGCGTGGGTGGCAGCAAGAGGCGCCAGATGCGACCACGTAGCCTGCCTGTGGGCCCTCCTCCGCGGCAGTTGCTAGAATATCCCCTCCAGCAAGAAGCAAAGGTGAGGCGGAGAGCAGAGAAGCAAACGGGGTCACACATCACGAATGTGAGGGTCTCCCTCACGGGCCTAAGCTCGGGGGCTTGCTGAGGGCATGAAGGCGACAGCAGAGGGGCCGGGCGGGGCGGGGGGGGGGCTCACCCTGCTCCCGCTGGGAAGGGGCCTGAGCCTGCGGTGGGCACGGGCACTTGCTCTGGAAACCCACTCGTGACTCCCACACCCGCCAGGAAGGGACCATCTTGCCGAGACAGAGACATCTTGCTGGGACAAGAGTACTCGTGAAAGGTCCCCAACGGGCCCAGCAGCCACACCGTTTTGGGGAACAGGTCACTGCCCACGCTGACTTCGTGGCAGGACAGCGCTGCCCTGGGTGGGTTCCACTGGGTTCCCTTCTGTGGCAGGCAGTTCCGTGGCATGTCCGTTTGGGGCAGGGGACAGGGACCCCCGTCCATTTGGGGCAGGGGACAGGGACCCCCGCTTACCCATGCGTCCATCATGAGGCGGGCTGATCAGAGAGATTCTTGCCGGGCCAGCCGTGACCTCAGGCTAAGCGTGTAGAAAGAAAACAAGTCAGTTCCTGGAGCTGCCTGTTCCAAGGGCCAGACCCACCCCATTTACCGCGAACCACCGGCTCCAGGCCCACAAGGGCAGGGTGCCCCCCTCCGCTCCCCAGCCCCAGGGGGCTCGCAGCAGCGGGGGGGACGGGGGGTTGCTGCACCAAGCGCTTCCAAGAATCTCAGAAGAGAGGAAACGTCAAGTCCTTGGCTGAGATCAGGAATGTTGAAATCCCACACAGATCCTCATTTTGGGCTCATGATCTCGTCACCCTGCGCTCCGGTGTTGACGGGGTGTTCTCGCTCGCAGGGAGCCAGCTCTGGCCGACCCGGTTGTGTTCCCCAGGGGCGCCCCCCCCCCCGATCCCCTGAGGATGGCACGCTGGCACTGTCACTAGTGATGGGGGGCCTCCTCCGACCACAGAGGCGATGCCAGGCGTGCAGGCCAAGCGCTCCCTTCGTTTGCCATGGCCGTCCTGGTCTCACTCCCGTGGCCCCTGACAAGCCCGGCTCCCACCGGTCTGTCTCCAGACCCGGCCACCATCCCCTGCGCCCATCTTCCCAGTTCCCACCCCGGCACACCCACCCCTGCGGCCCCCTGCAGGGTCCCCTCTGCGACCCCAGCCCCTGGCTCACGCCCACCAGCAAGCCTCAACCAGGAAGGACCAGTGAGTGCGCTTAGGCGGAGGCACTTCAGACAGCGCTGCCCCGCCTGGAGGGCGTGTCCATCAACTGCCTGTTCACGCCCCCGACAGCTTGACAGCTTCCGGGTGAAGCATCCCTCCCGGCCACGCGTCATGTGACAGTGGTGGGCTCGGCAGCTGTCCTCCCACGGACTAGAGCTCTGGTCCCGCCACACTTGGTCCTTCCCATCGGCCCGTCCCCCCTCCCCCACCCCGGGGTGCCCCCTCCACAGCCACGGGCTGAGTCGGGGTGCGCAGATGTCCCGTGCGCCCCTGCCGCCGGCCCTTTGCACCTGCTCCTCTCACGGTCCCGACCGCACCTCCGTCCGGCCTGCTCTGCACATCGTTGCCACATGTGCCCCCTGCACGCCAGCTCTCAACAGCGGGCAGAGCGTTCGCAACTCCAACAGGAGAACTCGGCACGGCGCGACGGCGAAAGTCACTCCGCTGAGTTAGAATCGGGTAACTGGTCTCTTCTCACCTTGGCTTCTACCAGCAAGGGTTTCTATTTGCTGGGTCAGCTCTCGAGGCTCCTGTGTCAGGGAGGATCCAGTAACAGGTGAAGAAAAAGGACCTGGAGACACGGCCGGCCGGGCCGTGCGGGCACAGGGCTGAGCACGGGCTGCGGCGGGCGCCCTGGGTCCCGGTGAGGACCCGTGCTCTGGAGCACGACTGGGAGCCGCGGCCTAGGATGGGTGTTCGCGAGGGCCCCACTGAGCAGAGCAGGGCAGACCCACCCCAGGCGGCACAAGGAAGCCGAGACGCCCCACGGAGGCGGACCACGCCAGGCTGCGCTTTGCGGCGTGGACCACAGAGACCGCAAGCGGCAGATGTCTGCGAGGAGGGGTGTGTTCCACGTGCTGCAGGTGCTCCCACGGGGGCTCCCACGGGCACTTCCATAAGCGCTCCCACGGGGGCTCCCACGGGGGTTCCCGTAGGTGCAGCTTCGAGGCTCTCCCTCTATTCACAACTTGCTCACGGAGAGTTCTTCCTGCCAGAGAGCAAATACTCTAGAAAGATCTAGCACTTCCCGGGTGTCAGGAGAGTATGGAAAACTCTGAGTCCAAACCTCCCCTCCAGGGTGTCTGCGGTCCGTGTCCTGAGGCTGCCCCCCGTAGAGCAGCCCCGCGTCCTGCTGGTGGTTTCGGCGCATCCCGGGATGCCGCGCGGAAGCTGCCGGTTCTGTGTCTGTCAGCACTGTGTTTCTGCGTTCCCGGTGGCTGACGTGTTTCTCTTCGGGCTCTCCCTCAAGTCGGTTCTCGCGCTTTACCGGCCCCCCTCGTTAACACGTGCCGTAGAGCAGGCCTTCACTGGATACCTGTGAGTTGTCATTTCCCTGTCCACACCGGCCGACCGTCCCGGGTAGGAAGCTGCAGGCCGGTGTCCGCGTCTGACACGCCATCGGCGCCCTGTGCACCTGCAGGCTGTGCGTCTCTCACCTGCTCTCCCAGGACCCCGGGGTTGGCCAGGGCAGCAGGTGGGAGGGGGACAAGGCCCTCTACGGCCCAGACGGCTGACCCCAGGCTGCTTGTGCCAGGTGTCCTGTGGTGGGCATGGCACCTTCTCGACCGGCCGGCCGCAGTGCCCTCACCCTGCTTCCCCTGCAGCCGTGGCCACTCACCCTGGATGAGCCCGCAGGGGCGGGGACCTCTCCTGAACCACCAGACAATAACCCTCGGGGCAGCCCCACACCGGGGCCGGAGTCCTGTGCTCCCCTCCGCGCCCTGCCCCGGGCCGGCTGTGCCACCCAGGGGTCTCTGGGCCCGGGGTGGGGTTCTCAGGACACAGCCATCACCCTGCCCCCACTCCAGGACTGATGGCGTCCGGGGGCCGGGCGAGGGGGTGGACAAGTTTCAGGGGCACTTGCGTCCTGCTCTGGTCCAAGGCGGGCAGACCACGGCCCAGAGCCCGATTCTGTTGATAAAGTCCACCTGCCAGGCAGCCGTGCCCGTTCGCCTCCATCCTGGAAGCCTCACCTCCCAGAGGCCTTTGGGGCAGAGCCTCAACTACTCCCAACCTGCCCTGGACGGCAGCAGGCGCTACCCCCGGTCCAGCACCTCACTGCGGCTTCGAGACTGTGGGCTGTGTTCTGGTCCCTCAACCGTAACGGCCGGGACGTGGGGGATCAACTCAGGATGCCAGTCTCTAATCTCCAAAACAAGGCCACACGTGGGTGAGGCTGAGTCCAGCCTGCGGGGCGCCAAGGCCAGCAGGTGGTGCGTGGGGGCCGGGATCCACGGGCCAGGGAGGAGGTGCACCCGCAGGCTCCCTCTCAGATGCGACGGGGATGGTGAGACAGGAGGGTGGGGCGGAGAACCGGGCACGGAGGGGAGGCGCACGCCAGCACAGCCACCAGGGACTAGGGCGTCCCCTCCACCCCAGCTCTGAACGGCTCTGCGTTCCTACCTGCTTATCCTGGAATCCAGATTCCTCCTTAATCTGCTTGCAGGACGGCCCCCGTGGAAATGAGCACTACTCCTCACTAACCAACCTGAACGCCTGCGTGCGTGTCCCGGGGCGACCGGGAGACCGAGCTCCCACGTACCGGGTGTTCGCGGACAGGCAGCACCAGGCGGTGTGTGAGTCACCAACACCGAGTCCGTGTGCACCAGGTCGCTCCCTCTGGGGACCCGCTTCCCCATCCTCTATCCTGAGCCTCCTGGCGTCTGGCCTTGGGTGGGGGGTGGGGGAGTCCCAGGCCGCGCTCCATCCGGGCCAGGCACCGATGGCCGGAACTTCCGGCCGTGTCTCCTCTGGCCTTGCCCCTCTCTCCAAGTGGGAGCCCTGCCTCTATTCAGGGGCCTCGGGGTCTCCAAGCCTCTGCCTTTCTTGGCCGGACCGGGTTTATCCTGACTTCACTCAGCCTCCCTTCCTTCTTCCCCACCTGCCGCTCACAGAAGGGAGTGTGCTCGAAACCGTCACCCAGGACCTGCTTCGCGAACCACATCCCTGCCCAGCACAGGATGAAGAGACCCCGCTGTGATCCGTCCCTGGGGCCTTGAACGCTTGTGCTTCCTGGAGCTGCGAAAACCACAGACACCGTATGCAGGACGAGGCGGGACCCAGGGAGTGGGTGTACTTACTTTTCTCGCTGGGGAAGGAGTGAGGTCGACCTGCATGGACTCCACCCTGTTAAATGACAAGGGGACAGGGGCCAGGGGCTCGTCAGCGATGCAACACCACCAACCGAGACTCTTGCCACGGGACCTACGCTCACCTCCAGGCCCCGCGCTGTTGGCCCGCCTGCCTCACTGGCCAGCGCCCACGCCCACGGAAGCCTTGTGGCCTGGGCCCCGGCCCGCCCACTCCATAGCCCCCTCCCGGCCCTCGTCCTCGCTCCTCTAATCGGGCCTGAGCTCCTGCAAGGCGTCGACAGGAGTAAACATCCTTTTTCCTTTCCTTAACGCTTACTGCCCGACCCACACGCTTCACACGATGAACACTCAACAAGTGTTCGTTCTGACTGAGCCCGAGTCTGACAGGGACGCACCACTCGGGCAGCCTCGTAGGAGAAAGAGCAGAAGACAGAGGACAAGAAAGGGCGGGAAAGTGAGCTACTGAGCTCCTGCAGGGCGGGCCTGCCGGACAAAGCCAAGGTGAGGGGCGCAGCTCCCCTCAGCCAGGGTGGGTCGGGGTCCGGGGGGAGCCACCCGCCCAGCTGCGGTCTCTCGTCCTAGTTTTGTCTGTGCTGGATTAGTCTCCGAGCCGCCTCCCCTGGCCTGGCCATCCCGGTCACGGGTCAGTCCCAGGGTTGACACCCGTTGGCGCGGTGTGGTCGCAGGATGCCCCCCGACCAATCGCTAAGACTGTGGGGACAGAGTTGTGACTGGCCAGCCAGGACCACACACCTGATTGTGAGGCTGCGTCCCGCGGGGCAGGCAGGAGCCAGAGGGAGGGGCGAGGTGCCACGTCCTGCACTCGACTCAGGGTCCCTGCCTGTCCACTGCTGACTGGCGGGGTTGGGGTGGCAGTGAGGAGACGTGCAGGGTGGAGGGAGGAGGGGAGGACCGGAGGCGCGTCAGAGGACGGGCTGTGCGACCCGCCGGAGCCGGCCAGTGACGGTCAGGGACACTGGGGCCGCCCCGCCGCACACACACCTGTTGGAGGCTGACGAGTCAGGGGGCCGGAGGTGTCCGCCTGGCCGTGCCGAAGGAGCTGCAGCAGGGGTCTGAGCGTCAGGCCGCGTTCGCCGGCCCGGCTGCCTCTTCACATCCCTCCCAGCTCAGGCCCCGTGTCACTTACTCGAAACTGGAGTTTTTATTGTGCTGAAAGCTGTCTGCTGTGACAATCTCACACTACACAGATAGAGAGGGGGTGCTAATCAGCCGCAAACGTTTACTTCAATGTAACCCATCCCGGTTACAATCGTAAGCCGACAAACACAGCCAGGTGCCCCACAGGTGCCCCGGCCCCCAACTCTCGCCAGCTTCCCCCCACCCCCCCCCACACACACAGCCCTGAGGAGCCCCCCGAGGACAGGCAAGTGGCCTGTGGCTTGCTCTATTGGCTGCGCCCGGTGCTGCGAACAAGCAGGTGCTTGACTACGGGTCGGGGGCAGGCAGCCATCCGCCTCTGCGGTGTGGGGACCTCGAACCTCTGAGGCCCTCGCTCCTGCCCGCGGCCTCTGTGAAACCAGTGTGCTCTGTGCCACCCCCCCGCCCCAGGACATGAAGGTAACAGAGAGCCACCAGTACCAGCGCGCCCCCCCCCCCCCTGCCCCGCGGGTGAGTGTGCACCATGCTGCCCCACCTGGGCTCCTCCTGCTCTGGCGGAGGGGGGGGGGGCGGGGGGACTGGCAGATGCCGTCTGGGAGGGGCGCCCTCCCCGGGGAACGTGTGCGGAGCCAGCCCGAGGGACGGGACGAACCCCCCTGGCCCAGGCCGGGCAGAACAGGCAGATCTGGACTCCGAGGAGTCAGGTGGGGGAGAAACACCACCTGGGACGCGCCTAAACAGAAGGTGGCGACAAAGATAAGCTAACACCACGGTGCTAAAGATGACCAGGAACGTTCTAGAAATGGAAAGCTGAACAGCCTAAATGGACCTGAGGTGGAAAAGGTGTGCCGCAGGCAGCTGAGCAGAGCACCGGGACTGGGGGCCCAGGAAAGCACAGGGAGGCTGCAGGGACAGAAGCCACCTGGGAGCAGCTCTGTGCACAGGCCTGCCAGGCTCAGAGCAACGGGGCACGAGGACGCGGGAAAAGAGCAGGATGTGGAAAGGTGGCGGCTGTGAGTGGCCAGAACTCACGAAAGACACGATTCCCCAGAAAGCAAGCCAACTATTCACCCAGAGGGATGGATCGGAGACCCCGCGCAGGCGCCTGGCACTCTCCGCCGTGCCGCTCCCCTCCCGTCCCCTCCCCTCCCCTCCCCGAACTGAGCAGGGCCGCGCACCCCCACATCCCTCAGGCTCTCCGAGTCTCCTGCTGTGATCTCTTGGGAATGGGGCAGGACCCCTGAGCACACCCTCACACTGGTGTCGGCTTGGGGGCCCCTTCACCCCAGACGGGGCCCCAAGGTGGCGGAGAGACTTCCAGAGGCCCAACGCGACAGGGCAGCAAGTGCCCACTTACAGCGCGTGGGTCATCCCCGCACACGTGACCAGCCGGATGGACGCCAGTCCCCAGGGCCGCTGGCTCTGCAACCTTTACCCTGACGTTCGGCCCACCAAGCTGGGAAGAGTCACCACATTAGCACAGCTCACGAGACCTCGCCCCGTCTCAGAACAGAAGGCACTGTGGACAGCGGGAAACCCCCGTGGCCACTGCCCCAGGGCACACCACGGCCTCCACACGTGGGGCACACGCGCTGCGCGTGGTCACCTGTCACAGACCCCACGGTTCCTGACAGATGCGCACGGGGCCCCGACAGGGCCTGGCCGTGGGGCGCCTCTGCCTCAGGGATCTCGGGGAGCCCCTGGGGGGTTTTCACATTTTCCCTTCTGTCTCCCTTGGCCTCCCTTCACCTCCTGCTGAACTGCTGCTCTGACAGAAGCTTGTAGTAAAGGCAAGTGCTCTTTCTCCGGCCCCCTTCGTTACAACAAGGTCTCAGACAGATGGCCAAGGGCACAGCACGGTCGGCTGCCCTGTTCGCACTCTGGAGAGAACTCACCCCTGCAGCTGTTCCAACCGCAGCACTGACTTCCGAAGGGACTCTTCCAGCTTTGAGATCTAAACACAACCAGAGTTCTGGTCACCAGGTGGTATAGGCCAACAGTGTTGAGAGCATGTGCTGACCCTCTGAACGTCTTAAACCACAAATCAGAATGTGGGAGGCATGGGAGCCGTCCTCTTGCTGCTTGAGTGAACGTGCACTGACAGCAGGCCACCAGGGGCCCCGGGGACCAGCACTGGGATGCCAGCACGAGGCAGCCTCACCCAGGTGCTCCCGGACCCTCTGTCTACACTCGAGAAGGCACTGCTCTGAGTCAGAAGCTCGATTAACGCTGCTCTCACTAAAGCTTTGCTTTCCTTTCATTAAAGGCGAGTACTCACAAGGCTAGAGGGGAGTGCTCACAGGGCTAGAGGGGAGTGCTCACAGGGCTAGAGGGGAGTGCTCATAGGGCTAGACATTAGTGTTCACAGGGCTAGACGGGAATGCTCACAGGGCTAGATATTAGTGCTCACAGGGCTAGAGGAGTTGCTTGCAGGGCAAACAAACAGGCCCCTCGAATGTCGTTTACAAGGACTGGCCAGTGCAACTTCACAGTTGCTGTGGACGGAGAGGTGCCTCACGAGTTTGGGGATGTCAGCGGGTCAGTGTTGGCATTCCAAGGTGAAACTGTCCTGGCCACCACGGCTGGGGCCCCCAGGCAGCCACGTGCTGTCCACAGGCGGGATCCCCACACCAGGTTGAGGGTGGGCAGGGCAGGCGCCAGCCCAGCGGCCCGCCGCCTTGAGACGCAGCCTCGGAACGAGGCGGCACGTCACCAGACTTACCTTTTCTCTATAGAAGGCCAACAGTCTCCTTCTGTGCTTTTCTTGAAATTCTGAAACCTGAGAAGACAGTACGCGTCAGCTGCTGGCGCCGGCACAGGGCCGCCACCG